GGAACGTACCCAAGCGCCTCTACACCCTCCGCAAGCCAATCCGAAGACAGCTCCAGGAGAGAAAAGAAACGCAGGACCAAAGCCAAAAAGCCACGATAGTGCAATTCCTCTGCCACAAGTGCAACCGATAGAGAAGGAACCCGCACAAGGAGCCGCATCGCACCAACATCCCGCAGAAGAGCAGGAGCATAAAGCCACTCATTAAGATGCGCAAAGTGGCCCCCGAGGAAAGCCTGGACCACCGTCAACACCTCGCACCACTCAAACGTGCGGGTTCGACAGAATGAGTCCCAAGCATCCAGCGAAAACAAGGGGTAGTCTGCAAGCCAGGACGAACCCGGAACCTCACAACACACCCAGTAAGGACATGATGATCCAACCTGAACGAAGAAAGAACCATTACGGAGGCAAACTCCGGGTCATGCAGGAGGTAAGCCGCAAAGGCCGACCGCACCGCAGGCGGAGACATGCAGGTAGCCGAAAACCTCCGGAAGACGGAACCGAAGAAACCACAGGGACACGGAACCGAACCCAGGGAGGAGCAGAACCCAAGTCCAAATTGTACACAGACGGGGGAAAAGAAAACCCCACTCCTTGCAACAGTAAGCCCCGCTCAGAAGGACGGAAATCCAGGCGGGGTCCAATGGAGCCCAAGGCCCCCAAGGTAGCTCCTCCCCAACCCCAGGAGCCTCTACACCAGGCCCCGGGGCCGAGTCGACCTCCAAAGCCCCGGCTTCACAAGAAAAAGCCGGGGCAGCCGAAAGAGCTGGAAGAGAAGGGGCCCACTGGTCAGATCCCGGAGCATCGGCCGGAGGAACAGACTCGAATGCCTCCGCAGCCACCCCTGACAGGGCAACCCCCAAAACTGCCCAAGTCTCAGAAACCTCTAAAACCCTGCCCGACCCAAAAGCCCTCAGACGCTTAGGGGCCGGAAGCAGGAGGGGGGACCAAATTAACCACCGAAGGGGGAAAACAAGAGGGCATGGCCGGAACCAAGGCCGAAGCAACCAAAATCCTCAAGTCTGGGTCCCTAAACCAAGCGGGGCAGCCTCGGGGCGTCAGGGGAAGCGATAACCCGAGTGCGTTGCAACTATCTACCCTGCAACGAGCGAGCTGCCTGCACCCACGGTAAGTCATCAGCAGACTGGGTAAAATGAGCCACGAACAAGCAACACAGCTCGCAGGACTCAGGGTCGAATGTGTCACCGACCCAACAGGTAGCATGACAACGGCAAAATATGAGTCACCCTGAGACAAGGGGACAGAGCCACCCTAAACTCGCACAAAGCGAGAGGAGACGCAAGGGTCTCCACTATCGGACCTGAGAGCCCCCGTGGGGTTTCCCAGGGCCCTTAGACTGATCTGCTAAGGGTTATCCCAGGCAGGGCACTGCTAACTGGCGCCTCAAACTACGAAGCAAACTGCTAAAGCTAAACCCACGGGACGTGTCCACCCGTGAGGGCGAAGCAAGGGGTGCCACCACACAAACGACCCTAATATAAGGGGGAGGGAACACAAGGCAGACCCCCCACCCCCCCACTAGGCAAAAAGAAAAGAAAAACCACACAAGTCGACAACGTACCCAGAGGGAACAGAGCCGGCCGCTGTTATAGGTGAAAACTAGCTACGCAGTACCCTGCGCCCCACCAGTGCAATAACTACCACTTACCCCAAGGTAAACAAGGGAAGAAAACCCCCAAACACTCGTGGCGGCCAATCGCCAAGCAGCAAAAAGCTAACAGAGGTAGACCCAAGGTGACTTGTGGAAGGCAACCCCAAGCCCCAAGTGCGGTACTTACAGGACAGGTGACCCTAAGCACATGCAGCCCAAGTACCTGAGAATACTACTCCCAGCTCACACGACCACCGTAAGAGCAGCACTGAAAACAAGTCACAGCACTGAGACAAGACTGGAGCCACACGACTGTGCACTATCCCATCAGCCGAGGAACTGGAGCGGGGATCGCTGGCTCGGGGGTCTGGGGTTCCCCCTTCCCCCTCCCAGGGAGGGGGGAGCTGCGCAGACATGCGGTGCTGTGCATGTGACGTCATGCTTGTTTGTTCGTTTTTTGGGGGAGTTCTGTCCACTCGTTTGTCGATTTTCGTTGTTAACCAGAATAGAGGTTTGTTTTGTGGCGCTTACCTTTCTGGGTGCCTGTCCCGGTCGACGGTAGATATAGAATGCTCCAAATCACAAGTGCATTTCTATGGGTCATTGCTCCCCGTGCCTCTGTGAGGGGGCTAGGTTCTGGTTCGTGGTCTCCGGTAGGCCTAGAACTCCACCCACATCGACTGATGCAAAATAGTTACGTATCCATATCAGCCATGGATAGCTCCGGGGAGCCATAGGGGCTCCCCCCAGAAAAAGTTTGGTCGATATTAAACATTTAAAAATGGCCTAATACGCCCCCTAAGTTGCATGTCTTTGCAGCCTTTCCAGTTTGTTGATGTGTTTCTTAAGATATGGGCACCATACAACAGCCACATATTCAGCTTTGGTCTAACAAAAGTCGTAAATAATTTCTTTAGTATTTTGCCATTCATGTACAGTATTTAAAAGCTATGCTGAAGTAAGAAAGTGTAGCATAGACTCCTCGCACAATTTTCTTTATGTGATCCTCAGGTGATAGTTTTCCATCTAGAACCACCCATAGATCTCTTTCTTTATCAGAATTCTGTAAAGATTTCTCACGTAATTTGTAGGTTGTGTATGGTCTCTGTTCTCCAATTCCACACTGCATAACATGGCATTTATTCACATTAAATTCCATTTGCCAAGTGGTGCTCCATACACTGTTTTGTCCAGGTCTTCATGAAGGGCATGACAATCATAAAATTTTCTTATCTTTTCTTTGATCTTATCATCATTGGCAAACATGTTCATATAATTCTATATTCCATCGGGTAAATCTTTTATGTAGACAAAGAACATTACTGGTGCAAGAACTGAACCCTGTGGTACTGTAGTCCACTTGTGACATTTCTCTAGTCAAATACATTGCCTCTGATTACTGCCCTCATTTTTTTATCAGTTTGAAAAATTTTCACCCATGTTAGAAGCTTACCTGTCACCCCTCCAATATGTTTCAATTTTCAGAATAACCTCTTATGTGGAACTCTGTTGAAAGCTTTTTTTAGGTCCAGATAGATGCAGTCAACCCAACCATCTCTTTCCTGTAAAATCTCTGTGGCTCCATCACAGAAGCCGAGTAAATTCATTACACATGATCTTCCAGATAGAAACCCTTACTGACTGTCTGATATTATATAGTTTTCTCCAGGTGTTCTACCATTTAGTTTTAATTATTTTTTCAAATATTTTGACTATTACACTTGTCAATGATACAGGTCTATAACTGAGGGAAGGGGGTCTTCCCTGCTGCCACTTTTGTACATTGGAACAATGTTAGCATTTTTCCACACATCTGCTACAACTCCTGTACACAGGGATGCCTGAAAAATCAGTTGAAGTGGAATGCTGAGCTCAAATGCACACACACTCAGAACTCATGGTGAAACTCCATCTGGACCAACTGCTATGTTCTTACTTAGCCCCTTGAGCATTTTTTTCCATTTCATCTCTAGACACCTCTATGTGCTCCATGTTGTTCTCTGGAATTTTTATTGCATCTGGTTCCCTGAAGATTTCATTTAGTACAAACACACTTTGGAACTTTTCATTTAATTTTTCACACATTTCCTTTTCATTTTCTGTGAATCTGTTTCCCATTTTCTACCTCTGAATATTATCCTTTACATGCAATTTGTTATTTATGAATTTATAGAATAGGCCTGGTTCTGTTATACATTTGTTCGCTATCAATTTCAAAATTTCTTTCTGCTTCTCTCCTCACTGCCATGCAGTTGTTTCTCACATCGTTGTATCACAACGATGTGAGAAAGGTATACCCAAATAATTGGGTATACCTTTTATAGTATAGGCAATAGGTATTTTTCCCACGGACCTAGAATGTACTGTGCCTGGCCATGTGACCGCATTGTTTACTGTGAACTCGCGCGGCTGAGAGCAATGTCTCAGAATATTAGCCAGAGAAAATCAGATTCAGACAAAAATAGATAAATTCATGATTTCAACGGTCCGTGTAAGCACCCACTGAGAATTCAACAAGTCATGCAGCATCCACTGGCAACGAGTGCCCTACAAGCCATGCTGCACCCACAGCATGCTGAATTCCCATCAACAAGTCGTGCAGCCTCCGCCGGCAATAAATGCTCTGCAAGCTATGCTGCACCCGCCGATGCTGAATTCCCATCGACAAGTCGTGCAGCCTCCGCCGGCAACGAGTGCTCTGCAAGCTATACTGCACTGCCGATGCTGAATTGCCATCGACAAGTCGTGCAGCCTCCACCGGCAACGAATGCTCTGCAAGCTATGCAGAGCATTCTATGCACCCACCGATGCTGAATTCCCATCGATAAGCTATGCCCAAATCTCAATAAGCACATAAATAAACTAGATAAGGTGCAACGGCACGTTACAAAATGGCTTCCGGAACAGAAAAACAAAAGTTGAGAAGATAGTAGAGGCATTAAACATGCCAAAACTAGATGATGGAAGAAAAAAGGTGATGTGATCACCATTTACAAAATACTAACAGGAATCGACCAAACTGACAAAAGAGGAATTCCTGAAACCAGCAACTTCACGAACAAGAGGACACTTTTTTCTAAAAATATTAGAAAGTTTCTTTTGCAAACAGAGTGGTAGACGGTTGGAATAAGCTAAGTGAGAAGGTAGTGGAGGCCGAAACCATCAGTAGTTTCAAAGGGTTATACAACAAAGAGTACTGGGAAGATGGGACATCATGACTGTAGCTCTCATCCTGTAACTACACTTAAGTAATTACAAATATATTATATTTACTTAAAAGTAACCAGTTGCCTACTTTATATAAATTAACATGGGCTAAAATCCCTCACTTAAGATCATTCAGCTTCTTTGTCAGTACAAAGAAAATCTAGGTCATTTGATTGTTCACCTCAAGAGGAAGGGCAGACAGTTCTTGCAGACGATCACTTCTGAGACACACCAACACAGCAGCCTCCAGCAAGCTTGCCCCTTCCTCTTCTGCTGGATAAAATAATATACTATAGTCGAGTTATTCATGTAATTACTGTATGAGCTCGGTTACCCGAAGCCCCGCTTAACCAAATAATTGGGTTATTAGGCCAAAAATGGGTTTGAATAATTTTCTGCCAAACTTCACAATATTTAAACAAATTCCGATAACCAGAGATTTGGTTATGTAAATTTTCAAGAACTTCACATTTCAAGATCTACAATATCATACAAAAAGAAAAACTTCAAGATAAGCTGAAATTTCTTCTTTACATTATATTTTTGATTTATAGTGTGAATGGAAATAAGAATTATGATGGTTGTGGTACAAAAATGCAGCATTTGAGTGTAATGAAATGCTATTTTCTGGGTAAGTCCCAAAGGCTTCCAGAAGCTATCCAAACTGATATGTGCTATATTAGTTTAGGGTCATCAGTTACAGGATTTCTTGGGCCTACCGGGGACCATAAGCCAGAACCTGGCCCCCCCAAAAGAGGCACAGGGAGCAATGGCGTATGAGCACCTTACATTTAAGTTAGTATGTCATGTTGACCAAACCACACACTAGAAGATGAAAAGACGACGACTTTTGGTCCGTCCTGGACCATTATCCAGTCGATTGTGATGAGACGAAGGAGACACGAGCATAAGTAAGGCAAGAGCGAGGTGAGGAAGAAGAAACCTTAGAGAAATGTATGGAGAGGATAGGTGAAATATAGGGTGTAAGGTGGTGATAATAAAAGTAGGAATGGGAACATAAGAAAAAGAAGAGAAAGTAAACAGAGAAAAAAGGATGGGTAGGCTTATGTGAGGTCACATTTGTTGGAAAGTTTAGAACATTTGAGTATGTACTGTGAAGAGTCAACAGTAACAAAGCCAGGACTATGGTTCATGTCGGGTAGGTTGTGTAAAGGAAACAAAGCGTAAACCTGTCCTCAACTAGTAACTCCCGCTCATTAGTGTAACTCCCGCTCATTAGTGTAACTCCCGCTCATTAGTGTAACTCCCGCTCATTAGTGTAACTCCCGCTCATTAGTGTAACTCCCGCTCATTAGTGTAACTCCCGCTCATTAGTGTAACTCCCGCTCATTAGTGTAACTCCCGCTCATTAGTGTAACTCCCGCTCATTAGTGTAACTCCCGCTCATTAGTGTAACTCCCGCTCATTAGTGTAACTCCCGCTCATTAGTGTAACTCCCGCTCATTAGTGTAACTCCCGCTCATTAGTGTAACTCCCGCTCATTAGTGTAACTCCCGCTCATTAGTGTAACTCCCGCTCATTAGTGTAACTCCCGCTCATTAGTGTAACTCCCGCTCATTAGTGTAACTCCCGCTCATTAGTGTAACTCCCGCTCATTAGTGTAACTCCCGCTCATTAGTGTAACTCCCGCTCATTAGTGTAACCCCCACTTTGATAAGGGGGAGGGAACCGGCTCAGGAAAGCAAGCCTCCCAGCACCTCAGTACTAGGCTTGATGGATAACCACCAATCAGAGGGAGGAAAGGCATCAGGAAGCCTCTGGGGTTACCCCCAGAAATGGGCGTTTCATTACATTCAACGCTGGGCTTCTGGGAGAAGCCCCATTGGCTCCCTGAAGCTAACGACCCACAGAGAAGTAAAAATGTGGACTTACCCAGGAGGCAGCAATACTGCAGGACTCAAGTCAAAAAAGAGATCAAGGCCTACAACAGATGCCCCAGAGTCACACAAGGCCGGAAAGGGCCCAGAACGTCCTAAGATATCACACGGCCAGGATCCTGTTCAATTATAAAAACCCCGGCACCTAACGAAAAACCGCTGCGTGCACCGCGTACTTCTGAACGGCATGGGCACGTGGGCAGACCCCAGGCTGGATGGGCAATATGACACTGTGGACAACCTGAGACACACGAGCCCTGGAACAAGGAACCAGGGAAACAAAATCCACCCAAAAAAACATCCACCGTCACAGAACCAGTGGCCCGCAGGCAGTGGCTTTACGCCACCACTGGACAACCCCTGAAGCACCCCCCGGCCTAAGCAACCAAGCATCCACCCATACTGGACTCCTTTGGAAGCCTGCCGTCTCATTCTTCAGCTGAAAAGAATTTTCTAACGAAAATGCATGTCCTGGAAAAATAATTTTCTGGTGGAGAGGGTGCGTGCAGGGCAAGACGGAGAGGGTGCGTGCAGGGCAAGACGGAGAGGGTGCGTGCAGGGCAAGACGGAGAGGGTGCGTGCAGGGCAAGACGGAGAGGGTGCGTGCAGGGCAAGACGGAGAGGGTGCGTGCAGGGCAAGACGGAGAGGGTGCGTGCAGGGCAAGACGGAGAGGGTGCGTGCAGGGCAAGACGGAGAGGGTGCGTGCAGGGCAAGACGGAGAGGGTGCGTGCAGGGCAAGACGGAGAGGGTGCGTGCAGGGCAAGACGGAGAGGGTGCGTGCAGGGCAAGACGGAGAGGGTGCGTGCAGGGCAAGACGGAGAGGGTGCGTGCAGGGCAAGACGGAGAGGGTGCGTGCAGGGCAAGACGGAGAGGGTGCGTGCAGGGCAAGACGGAGAGGGTGAGTGCAGGGGAAGACGGAGAGGGTGCGTGTAGGGCAAGACAGTGTGTGCATATGGGAGGCCTGCGGCACCTCACAGACTCGGGTACTGCCAGATACCCTAGCTACTGGCCAATATAAGAATGGATGTATATGTATGTTGGAAAGTTGGAACATGTATAGTTTGTGCAGATGTGTGTATATGCAGGTAACCATTGAGTCTGAGTGTAGGCATTCCAGGCAAGACTGAATATGGCTTAATGAACAGGTGAGAAATGGAGACCACGTGAGACAGACTAGGGCTGGGAGACAAGGTGAGACACACTAGGGCTGGGAGGCCGGGTCAGGCACACTAGGGCTTGGGAGGCCGGGTCAGGCACACTAGGGCTGGGAGGCCGGGTCAGGCACACTAGGGCTGGGAGACCAATTAAGAGTGTACCTGAAGTGGGTCGTGGGAGTTTGACTTCCCAGGCCCAGCTTGGGGCCAGGCTTGACTACTGACAATTGGTTCAACAGGCTATTGCTTGGAGCACCCACATGCCTACATATCCACTACAACTCTGATGGTCAAGTGCTACTTGCAGGAAAGTGTCTAATTTTCTCTTGACCACTTCTACTTTTCTACAGCAATCTTTCTAATGCTTGCCGTAAAGATACTGAATAGCCATGGACCTGTGATGTTCATACAATGTTCTCTGATTGCACCTACATTACAAAGAACAGGTCTATTCTACAGTGATTATAGAGGACAAGGGCTAACACCATCCCATGATAAGAATGTTTGGAGCTTATATGAATCACCGCTGGATATTAAGAAAATGTAGTGAATGATGAACAAGTACTGTACATTATTCAATAAACAATTAATAAATATTTGACAACTTACTGGATGACTTAAGAGCAGCATGCACATCAAGGACCTCCGTACATAGGCCAGCGACAAGCAGGAGACACAGGATCAAGAAGACAGGCACGCTCCCAGCTGGCCATAGCCCTGCAACATAAAATACATAAGAATAAATTAAAAGTAGAAGTCCCCATTGGCACATGCAAGGCAGCTCCTGTAAGAACATAAACATAAAGGACATTACAGAAGTCCTATTTTCCAATACAGTACAAGGTAACTTGTATTAATATCCAATCCAACTTATTCGTCTCGGTAGTACAATTGGGTTCGTTCTCAATGAACCATTGGGAATCCCAGACAGGCACAGAGAGCAGTGACCTAGGACCACTTTACATTTAATTAATTAAAGTCAAGTCATAACTCCCACCACCATGAAAGCACCCCTGATAGTCAGGCAAAAACCTTAAACAGTGCAAATTGTATACTACAGTACAACCTCGATTCAGCGCACTATATGGGACAAACCCAGTTCGTTGCGGGGGTGGATTCGTTACAACAGATGATGCCTTCAGGAGACATTTATGTAATTCCTTTTTTTTTCGGCAGTTCCTAATGGTTCTGAAGCTTGTACCACTGGCCCACCACGACCTGAGGAGCCCCGAACCCTGGCACGACCCCTCCATTAACGACTCCCCACGGCCACCCCAGGAGAACCAACAAGTCCGACATAGGACGACAGCTAGTAGAAGCCGTTTACAGATACTGCATAACTGCAGAATCAGCAAACAGCAATGGACAAAAAGGAGACGAAAATCTAAGAGCCAGGGCCCACACGGATTCCATAGAATGAGCGAGCACAGCCTACCAGCACACAAGACGGAATGCAGAGAATAGATACACCGCCTCCTTCAGAATCGGTGCATACAACTTCAACAAGGGGCAGCCGACGCCTGAACTGTTGAGGCAAGCGTACCAGACACATGCCCGGTCCCCAGCACCTCACATCCTTCTCAAGCCAGTGCGAAGAGAGCTTGAGCAGGAAAAAGAAATGCAAAACCGAGGGCTAGTGCCCCCGGGTACGCAAATCTTCAACTACCAGGGACACCGAAAGGGTGGGAACCTGCACATGGAGCTGCACCCGACCAACATCCATAGGAAGAATGGGGGCGAACAAGCACGTGATAAGGTGCTCCAACTCGCAAGGTAAACCTGAACCACAGTAGAAGTTTCCTGCTACTCAAGCGTGCGGGTCCGCCAGAACAAATGCCATGCCTCTAATGAACTGGACCTCCTTAGGCGGGATAAGGGAAGCCGAAAACCTCCGGAAGGAAGGGACCGAAGGACCCAAGGGAATCCGGAACCAAACCCGGGTAGGAGCCAATATCAACTTCCCATATCAACTTCGTACAGGGAAGGGGGTTAAGAAAACCCCTCCCCCTGCAACAACAAGCCCCTTGCCAAAGGTACCAACACCCAAGCAGGGTCAATCGGGGCCCAAGCCCCCCCCCCCCCAAGTCAACTTCTCCCCAGCCCTGGGATCCTCCACACCAGGACCCGGGGCAGAACCATCCACCAAATCTTCTGCCCCAAAAGAAAAGGCAAAGTCAACCAGAAAAGCTGGGGAAAATGGGGGGCCTGATGGTCAGACCTTGAAGCCCCGGCCAGAGGAGCAGGCTTGAATGCCTCCGTCACCGAACCAGAAGGAGCAGCCCCCAAGACCGTCTGAGTCTCACCACAATCTAGACCCTGCCCCAACTCCGAAATCCTTAGAGGTTTGGGAGCCGGTAGCAGGGGGGGGGGGGATGAAACCAAAGTCAAAGCGACTAACGCCAAGTCTGGGTCTCCTATAACCAAAGCGAGGCAGCCGCAAGGGCATCCTGAAAGGTAACCAACCTAGCTCGTTGCAGCAACCGAATCTGTGCATGCAACGCTGATGCTGCCTGCACCCTAGTATTAGTATCAGTGGGCTGGGTCAGTTGGAGAACCAACAAGGAACACCACTTGCATAACTTCCTGTCGAAGATGTCGCCGACCCAACAGGCAGCATAACAGAGGCTAAACCAGTGAATATAAGAAAACCCCTCCTCCTGCAATAACAAGCCCCGTGCCGAGGGTACCAACACCCAAGCAATGTCAAACAGAGCCCAAGCACCCAAAGTCAACTCCTCCCCAGTTCCTCTGTCCCCCTGTCCCCCTGAGACAAGGGAACAAAGCACCCTTCGAATTCACACAAAGCGAGATGGGACCCAGAGGATGCATCTATTGGACCAATGAGCACCAATGGGGTTTTCTAGGGCCCTTAGGCTGATTGCTAAGGGAAGCCAAGGCAAAGTACTGCTAACCGGTTGAGCCAACTACCAAGAGATCTATTAAAAGCTGAACCCCTGTGATGTTTACAATCACGGGGACTTAGTGGGTAATCACAAGAATAAGAGAGTGGACAAGAATCAAGAGGCAGACCCCCCACCAAGCAACAAACAAAAAGAAAAGAAAAACCCAGCAAAAGTACATCATCTTCAGGAGGAACAGAACCAGCTGCTGTGTAAAAGGTGGCAAGCTGCACAGTACCTTGCATCCCTACCAGCAACGATAGTACCTCCTATCCAAGGTCAAACAGTGGCAATGAAAACCCCCAGCTGACCCCAAGGGCGGGCAATCACCGAGCAGCAAAAGACCCTACAGAGGTAGTTCCAGAACGCCTTGTGGAAGGCAACCCCAAATCCTTCAACCTATGCAAGGGCAGTACTTACAGGGCACTTAGGGAAGGTGGCCCTAGGCAGATGCAGCCCTAGTAATCCCTGAAGTACTCCTGGTTCACACACTACCACACAGCACACACAGCACACTAGGGGCCTCGTAGCCTGGTGGATAGCGTGCAGGATTCGTAATTCTGTGGCGCGGGTTCGATTCCCGCACGAGGCAGAAACAAATGGGCAAAGTTTCTTTCACCCTAAGTGCCCCTGTTACCTAGCAGTAAATAGGTACCTGGGAGTTAGTCAGCTGTCACGGGCTGCTTCCTGGGGTGTGTGTGTGTGGTGTGGAAAAAAAAAAAAAAAAAAAAAGTAGTTAGTAAACAGTTGATTGACAGTTGAGAGGCGGGCCGAAAGAGCAAAGCTCAACCCCCGTAAAAACACAACTAGTAAAAACACAACTAGTAAACACAGCAGAACAGCACCAGAAAGGTACAGCACTGCTCAGAGACAGGAGCCAGAGTTGAACGACCGCCATGTAACACATCAGCCTTAGAATTGGGGTTGGGTAGCCGATGCGAGGGGTCTGGGGCTACCCCTTCCCCCTCCTGGGAATGGGGGGGGGGAATTGCACAGACACTGGTGTTTGCACGTTTTCAGATTGTGGAGTTCTGCTTGATAGTTCGGTTTTTGGTCGCAATTTTCACCAGGTGGAGTTTGTTTATGGGCGCCTACCATTCTGGGTGCCTAACCCAGTAGATGGTAGACATAGAATCCTTCCAACCACATAGGGAAGGGGGGTTCTATAGGCCATTGCTTCTCGTGCCTCTCTGAGGGGGCCAGATTCTGGCTCATGGTACCTAGCAGGCTAGAACCCAAATCAAACTGACTGATGCCACGGTCTAATATATGCATATCAGCCTGGTATAGCTCTGAGGAGCCGAAGGGGCTCCCTGAAGCTTTCCAAACTGATATGTGCTATATTAATTTGGGGGCATTGGTCACAGGAATCTTTATGCCTATTAGGAACCACAAGCCAGAACCTGGCTTCCTCAACAGGCGCAGGGAGCAATGGCCTATGAGCACTTTACATTTAAATTACTGTATGTCATAATTGAAAAACGCCCCTAAAAATCGAGCGCAAACGCTCAGCAGCCAAATATAAACACAACCAGCAGCGCCGGCCAGCGGCCAGGCTCGGAAGCACTCCCAGGAGAGCAAAATGGCAACCAAAACAAAGCGAAACCACCACAAAACACCCAAATCAAGGATGGATGCACCCAATGCGAGGGTACGTAATTCACGCAGGCAAGTATGGTAAACCAAAGCAGAAGGGAGGGAGGAGATGAAAACCACCACCATCGCCACAACCACCCCAGCCCAGAAGGCACAAAAACCCAAGCTGGGGCAATTAATGGAATCATTCCCTAGCCCCGGAAACCCCCGACACAGGCCCCAGGGCAGGTTAACTTGTGGTTACCTTGCGATGATTCTGGGGCTTAGCGGCCCGGTCCCCGACCAAGCCTCCTCGTTGCTGTACTGGTCAACCAGGCCGTTGCATGCAGTTGCTTGCAGTCTGATGTATGAATCACAACCTGGTTGATCAAGTATCCTTTGGAGGTGTTTATCAAGTTCTCTCTTGAACACCGTGAGGGGTTGACCAGTTAAGTCCCTTATGTGTAGTGAGTGGAAGTGTGTTGAACAGTCTCGGGCCTCTGATGTCGATAGAGTTCTCTCTCAGAGTACCTATTGCACCTCTGCTTTTCAATGGGGGTATTCTGCACTTCCTGCCATGCCTTCTGATCTCATGTGATGTTATTTCTGTGAGCAGGTTTGGGACCAGCCCCTCTAGTATTTTCCATGTGTAAAATATTATGTATCTCTCTCACCTGCTCTCAAGAGAATACAGATTTAGGCATTTTAGTCATTCCTACAGAACTGTTCCGGTTCCGGAACAGCAGACAAGTTCCGGTTCTGGAATGGCAGAATGTTCCATTCTGGCAGAACCCACATCCCCACCCTCCCACCACCCTTAAAGAAAAGGCAGAAGAATCCCAGGGAAAAGCCTAAAGGAAAGGTACCTGCTGGGCCGTCTCTGAAGCCTTGGCGGGGAAATCAAGCTCAACCTACATCTCTGAATTAGAAGGGGACAATCCCCGAAACTACCCGAGCCTCATCCCAAAAGAAAATCCCGCTCCGGCTCCTACCCCCAGATGTTAGGGAACTGGAAGCAGGTGCACGGACTGAACCAGTTGAAATAACCAACGCCCCTAAAACCTGGTACCTAAAACTCCAGCGGGGCAGTTCCAAGGTTTCCAACCAAGCAACCAACCTGGCTCGTTGCAACAACGAAAACCTACCATGCAACGAAGCTGCTGCCTGACCCCAAACATCCTCAGACAAAGAATGGGTAACAATGACAAGTGGAGAGCAAATCCCACAAGAATCAGGGTCGTA